CCCCAGGGCCCCATCCCGAGGTCCCAGCCCAGGACCCCCAGTGGAGGATGTGGCGGGATGCTCACCTGCGTGTCCTGTAGCTGGGACCCCAGAGCTGCCACATCCTTGGCCAGCTTGATGGCCTTGCCTTCTGCCTCGTTGAGCATCCCTGTGACACTCTCCACTTCATTCTGAGGGTGCCGAGAGAGTGGTTAGTCGAAGCCTCCAGGCCAAGGTCCTCACTAAGTAAGGGGAGCCCTTTTCCTTCAAGCCTCACCATACACCATCATGGGACAGGACTTGGAGTGTCATGGATGGAGAAAATACCCACAAGGGAGACTCTGTGAATAATAATGCTGTGGCCCCAAAGGAAGTCTGTCACCTACAAGCTGGGATCCCTGGCCCGAGACACTGTGGTGCTAAGTATCTGTTAGAGCCCTGTCTGTCCCAGTGGGCCCTGAGCCCGCTAGATGGATGTGGAGTCCCTGCCCAGGTTGGCAGAGATGAAGCACAATCATGAGGGATGGTCAGACTGGTCGACTCCGTAAAGCTAGAAAGGAGATGCAGCATGGCACCTGAACGTCTGCGGGGTCCCGTCCCCATCCCCGTCCTCGCCCATATGCTTGGAGAGGCATGTACTGGCCCTCATGGACAAAACCAAAGATGCAGTAAAGGTAAAGAGCCCCCTACTGCCTTCTGGGCCTTCTCCCACAGCCCTGCTGTGTCTGAGCAGGTCGTGTGGGGGGACCAGCCTGCCTTCCACTTCTGCCCACTTACAGCCAGGATGGAGCCAGCTGGACTCTGCTGTCTCAGACTTCGCTAGTTTCAGGCTAGCAAAGCCCCTGCCTCGACTGCACAGGGAGAGGATCACACCTAACGCTTCTGCCCATTTGTCCTGGACTGTTAGCACATTAAATATTTATCAAGAGTTTGGCCATATCCCATTAATGAAAAGTCAACCCATTCAAAGCAGAATAAGACCAAAGATAAAGAGACCACCTAAAGGCCATCAGTGGTGGTTAATCACTCACGTAAAGACCAAGATACATATAACAGGCCTCGAAGGCCCTGTGGATCTGCCACAGCCTGCCCTTAGCTCTTCTCTGCCCATGTTTTCCTTCCCTCTCGGCACGCCTCATCGGCCTTATCAGTCTCCCCTAGATCTCCCACTCACCGCTGGGCCTTTGCACACACTGTCCCGTTTAGAGACTTCAGTCCATCAGATTATGTGTCCTCTTGAGGGAAGTCTTTCCCGACTCCTCCTCCCCCAGGCCAGGCCCTTTGTTATTGGCACTTACTTGTACATTTTATGAACCCCCTTTCCAGGATAATTTTATATTTATTTGTGTGATTATTCATGCCCCCAACCCTAGGCTAGAGGAAGGGGCATGTCCGTCTTCCTGTGTCGTACGTCAGGATTAACACGGTACACAGCATACCGCACTGCATACTCACTGCATGAACAGGTGAGGGTCGTTAAAGATGAAGGTGAACAAGGAGAGACTATCTCATCTCCTCAAGAAATGGAACTAGAGGAACCCAACTCGCTTTGGAGCAAGAGGGATCTCAGTGGGCTGGCCAGAGCCATGGCCTGTCCCGGAGCTGGTACCCGGGGTGCGGGCCATGCCACTCCTCACCTGTAGCTTATGGACTTTGTCGTTGAGCTCCGCCCGGGCCCGTTCCCCGTCGCTGCACTTGGACTGCAGCTCCTGCACCTGCACCTCCAGCTTCTTCTTCTTGTGCTCCACCTCCTGCTTGGCCTGGCTCAGAACCCGCAGCTCACCAGCCAGGTCGGCGTTCTCCTTCTCCAGCGTCTGCTTGTTCTTGTCCAGGTTGGCCTTAGCCTGACAGATGAGCAGACAGGAGGGAAGATGTGAGCTCCATGGCCAGGAGGTGGGTGCAGACAGGAACCTGTGCTGCCTGGGAATCTTCCTCTTTCCTTTCCCTCCCTCAGGGAGGTTCAGAGACCTGTGTTCATTTTCTCAGGGGAGGACTTGCAGATGGGAACACACATCGCTGGGAAGACCGTTGGGATTCTGTCTTCCTAGAGGTTGGGGGGCTACAGACTGGCATCCTGTGAGCTGCACCTAACCTGCTGTGCTGTCTCATTTGACCCACTCAGTACTTTTGAAAAAATAAACCACCGGCATCTTAATAAATGTCGCAAGAAAATCTGGATTCCCAGCTTTTTACAAAAATCGGATATTGTATGGGACCAGCAGTTAGCATAATGGCTATGCCATTGGACTCCCACATAGTTGACTGTGGTTCAAGTCCCAGACCCAGTGGCTTAAACTCACACCGGGCATGTGTGCGTGCGTGCCCAAGATCCCGAGAGGAGAATGGAGGAGAAGGGATTGCAGCATGGCCATGTCCCCTAGGAGGGTGATTTCTTGCTTTCTGTCTCTCTGTCTCTCTCTATGGCAAGCACATGCACCCTATAGCAAAAACCTCTCCATAAAACAAAACCAAAAAAAATCAGGTATTGTATATATTGTGTATCATGACAACTATATGTTTGTCAAACTCATTGACTTGTACACTTGAAAATAGTGAGTTCTGCTGCATATACCTTCGTAATTCTTTTAAAAAGTAAACTAAAGTTTTGGGAACAGGGGTCTTGCTTTCTTTTCTCCAAGGCAGCAATGAGCTGGACCTAACTGGTGGCTAGCTCTGTAAATAGAGCAGTCATGTTCTACTTGGCCCCAGTCTTCACCCCTCCCTGTTGTCCTTCACCAGTATCGTCAGATTTCCATTGCTATATCTGTACTAGTTAAGGTTATTTTATCAAACCACTCTGTGGCCATGTGAATTGCCCTTTTAAAAAAAACCACACACACACACACACGGTGTTTTGGGCAAAAGCAGGATAGGGGGGCTCCTCCCAGGACTATAGGGAGGAAGAAAGAAGCACGAGAGAAGTGGATGGCTCCCAGGGCAGAGGGAAACCACGTGGCTTCCCCACTGTCCCCAGAGGTGCCGTGCAGTGTGTGGGCAGCCTCAGAAGACACTCCCCTGCCCAGGCATGGCTGGGAGCTTCTGGACCCCAGACAGGGGCAAGTCGCCTTTCAGTGGTAATGTGCAGGTTCTGAGGCAAGGGGCCTAGGGGATCTTTGGGGATTTTATGCTCCCCAAAACCTTTGTCCACCCTGGGACTCCAGAACTGTGGCAAAACTGCACGTGTAAAGGGAGCTTATAACTGAAGTTCAGTTTTCCCTAACAGCTGATGGAACCAGGGTTCCAAGTGAGAACCAAGGCAGCTGTCCTGGGTGGAACAGTCTTGTCCCCACTCCTGAGTCGGCGGAGGTTTGCGCCTCCAGCTGTTCCTGTGGTGCCCACATGGCTCTCTCACAGCTCAGGGATGGACGTGCCGCCTGCTGGTGGTGTGGCCAGTGGAGTCTTCCCAGAGGCCGGGCTGCCAGTGCAGGGGTGGCCTCGCTCATGGCTAATGACCATCTAGTGTAAGGAATGTCACTTTCCCCATCTGGGGTCCCACGCTTCCAACTGTAAAGTTTGAAGGGACCTGAACAGCTCACCACTGCCTTGAAAGTGAGTCTCTTCAAAAAGGGGGACTAGCCCATTTGGGCTCGAATCTTGTGAAAATAAAAGATAGCTTTTGAACATAAAAAAGGAAAAGTGTAGGGGCCAGCAGATGGTGTGGTGGTTAAGGTGCTGGACTCCCACGTAACTGATCCACGGTTCAAGTCCTGGACCTGAGAGCTTGAAAATCAGGCTGGGCATGTGTGTATGCATGCCCAAAATCTTAGGAGGACCATGGAGGAGAAGGGATTGCGACATGGACATCCATCCTGGGGGCCGATTCCTCACTTTCCTTCTCTCTGTCTCTCTAGTGAGTGACATGCTCTCTGGCAAAA